AACCTTCTGCGGACTAGTGCAGATTCTTGCTTCAGCCGGGTGGCGAGCAAGAGAAACGATAGCTGGAGGGTGTCAGTAACCAGCGCATCCATTACTCTAAATTTTGGCCAATCAGGAAAATTCAGAGCATTTCCTTGTTTTATGCTTTCAATTAGGCTGAGTAGTTGTATAGATTTTGTTAGTTTGAAAATGACAGAGCTGCGAAAACTTTTGAGGTTAGTGAAAAGGGTAAAGATGAAAGTTCAAGTGTTCACGTGTTTACTTGCATTAGCATATTGAATTGCACATATCATCAGGTTCCGAGTGAAACTTTTCAGTACAGCATTTTATCAACTTTGTTCATTTTTAAAGAGTTTTGTAGGAGAAACCGTGCATTGCCAGTAGCGGCTGGCACTTGCTATTGTTACTCTGGCACCATACCCATCTCAGCTTCCTTTTTGGAATTTTGCTGTACTTTTTTAACCAGAGATCCGAATTTTAAACACGCATGATACATGATTGCATGCGAAATCCTCAGAACGCTGAAGAACCTAAACACGGTTGTCACTACTACTAATCTCACAAGGCAAATAAACGATTATCGCTTCAAAGTATTCAGATTTTGTCCTTCAATTTTACGAGTGCCACAACAGTGGCACACGTAAAATCGAAGAACACGGCGATTTTCTTTGCAAATTTCGCATTTCGCAGAAAGGACAGCCATTAAAAAGAGGAGAAAAGCTGCATAGAATTACCAGAGCAAAGTCAGAAGTCTAGAATAAAATCTTTGAAAATTAGCGAAAATTAGACATGGCAAAAAGGCTTCTAAACTTTGCTTATTATCTCACCGCTATTCGAGACAGCCGCATCAGAAATACCAAGAATTCTGCATTGAATACCGTTCGAAGTACTTATTGCCACTGTAGGAGATTCGCAAATCGGTCTAAGAAACCGAAAGAACTTTTGCACGACTAATATAATAGAACAAGCTTTCTAATGCTTACAATTCGATAAAGATTTCCTTGAAGCTACGCTTTGACTGTTAGTGTGAAATATGAGGGAGGGAGTAAACCATTTCCAAGTCTAGTTGGCGTATGTGGCTTGGAAGTAGGCCCCGAATAAAATCGGACAGCTTTCATAGAAAGAGTTCATTTAACACTTTTGGAGCGCTGGGTAGAATAGTTGGAAAGGAATCTAGGATAATCATTATCCTAGGCAAGAGCTGAAGATGACCGGCCTGCTAGCTGAGCATTTCGAGTAATTTTTGAACGAATTCTAATAAGTTGGTTCGATTGAATAAGTGAGAATCTTGGATACCAAAAAAAACCTTTAGAAACTACTTTAGTAGACATTTCATCAGTTTTCTCCTTGATTATGCAAAACTCTGAATTTTGTCAGATGTAAGCATGTTTTTTAAACCCACCTTTAATTGGCAACTTGAAGTGTGCCTGATAATGAAGAAGTTCTACTGCGTTTCCTAGTATAAATTCGCGGACATTGATCCATCTCCCCAAGTCAAACCTTTTTGAATGACCCCATTATAGCATGAGTGCTCTCTTAAGAATTCCAGCAATCAATGACAGCAAAACGAAAAGTTGGGCACGCCAATATATGACAGAAATGTTGGAAAAAAGACGCAAATCAGCCCATCTATTCCTAATGCATACACCTCAATTCAACTACGGGATACCGTAGAATAGTTGCTATTTTCGGCTTAGTGTCACGTTGCGCTCCGATAACACCGGACAGGTGTATCAACCGCGGAGGAGCGCGTTTTATCGGACGAATCAGGATAGCACCTCGGCGAGTAATTTGTCCAAGATATATGGATATACACTGGAATGAATATAGTATTAGCAGCCCAGGATAGTTTCCAGCAGCTCGAACTTCTCTCATAGCCTTCTCAAGGATTACAGGCCTGTCCATAAAGCTTATCTTGCACTGTTCCATAGGCAATATTCCGAAGAGCATGACTTATGAGAGAAACATAGCATTGTTGTCTCTGATTGACAATCAAGACAGTGGTGGGAGCAATAGAGTACAAGTAGCCGCTAGTGCTTTGACGAATGATCGCTGGGTAAATGACCGTGTCGACACTTATTGGGTTGATACATGAGTCTTGCACCAAAAAGTGTGAAAAAATTGTTTAGATCTATATAAAAATCCTTCAATCAAAATCAAAAAGTCGATTCATAACCATTAGGAGAAACATTAAATCGATAAGTATTTTTGAGTAGAAAAAGCAGGTCATACAACTGAAGAGTAGACGTGTGTCGGATGTCTAGTAAAGGCCCTATTAATCGCATATCTAGTTTTTGATGTATGTTTTAGGGTGTACCATCACAGCACGGAGCATTGAGTTTGGCTCTTAGTGGAGATAAGAAATTAGAATAAAAATACCGTCTTATTAGAGGTAATAATTGCGTGTTGCAAAACAGAATGTAAGCGGCGACGACTGTCTACAAAGTTTCCTCTAATATGTTAATTTCGATAGCCATGCAGAAAAAATAGTGATTTGAGGTGGATTCAGTAGATCAATAGTTTCGAAGACAATAATTTTTTGTCTGTATTTTTTGTAAAAGGTTCCCAAGGAATGCAACGCTGAGACTAAATTAAAAATTTGTGACGTTTGAACTTTTTCCAAATTCTAGCTTACCTTTCCACGAAGAAGTCAATATGGAATTGTTGTCCAAGAACTAAATTCTCGAAACTATTTGACATTACACAAATTTTTATATTTGCGAATACAAAAATGGCTTTCGACTCCAAGCGACTTCAAACGCTGCACTGACACCCTTGAGGAGCTGACGTGCGACCTTGGACACCCCCCACCGCGGATAGCAAGTCCTTGATTCAAGGAACTTGTCATCAAGTACCCTACGTAACTCTCATGCAAATAGCGCTTGCTTTGAACGAACCGAGGTAAAAAGTCGGACAATGCGAGGCTCTGACATAGCGGCAAACTGTGGGAACGGAGTGAGGGGTTGATCGGACTGGATATGGATGCTTGCTATCAATTTGTAATTTTTGTTTAGTAGGAACGACGAGGTAAGGCAGGTGCAGTAACGGCATCGTGCAAAGGATGTGGATCGTGCTTGGGGCAATCGAGGCTCGATCAAAGGCTCTCTTTCAAGACTCTCCATCGGCGATCTTCTCACAGCAAACTCCACGCGCTCATCATTGCCCGACTAATTACGTGTGATCACCTGTACACCATGTCACACATCTGAAGGCCCTGCGAAATTTGTCCTCTGAATAGCGAATGCTGAAAAATAACTGGCCCCATCGTTTATTCACTGTTCCTCATCACCTAGATGTTATCCAGGGGCAGGTGAACGGCAGGATCTGTTTTTCGCCTGCACGCTTATTAGCCGGCACCCCAATAGGTGAGGATTAGTCCAGACGGCTGATTGTTATCTACTGCAAGCGATTACGACCAATGCTCGAAAGATGTGTGTCCTGATCGAGAACTGACCCAACTCGACGTTTACACAAAGTTTATTGCGCGTGTCGAATAAGCGGAGACGACTTGCGGATGTGTTTCCGATGTTGCACAACTAATTCCGGAGGTCAAGCCAAGTAACTGCAGTTACGCAATCGTGCTCACAAAACAGTGTTATCTTGCCTCGGCTAGAGCTTCATACTTTTGAGGACGTGTGCTTTAGCTATGTTATAGGAACAAGCTAGCATTTCGCCACTAACGATGTCAATATAAGCAAAAAGACTTAAATCTTGAAATTACGATATCCTATGAATTTTCGCACGATAACAACAGCTCAATGCATGTTACAACTTCAGTTTTGCGTGAGAAGTAAATGAAAGAAGTCCACTCCAGACTGCTAAAGCTGAGTGTAGATCATCACTGCTAGTACAAAATATTGACCGACTATCGCATAAACTTCAACATAGCACGATTCTAAGGAAACTGTCCGAATGCACAACTCTAAGAGGAATAGTAAAAGTAGCGCCTTGCTTTGACAGAGAACACTGGAATGTGCAGGTCGGGGAAACCTAGCGAGATAGGAGAAGTTAAGAGGATTAGTATTACATGCAGTAGGTTGCCTCAGCATCTTAAGCTATGCTTAGTCTCTAAGCTATCTTCTTAGGCTGCTTTATTGATGAACTGTAAAATCTTTGATTTTGTATCTGTAAATTGTGCAGAAATCAAGACACTGATCTTGCTTGTATATCCAGAATCTCGAGTGTCAAATTTTTAAGTTTCTTTCATCTTTCGATACTTTATAAGTATCTTTCGAGTATGTGACAGAGTACCGCTTCTTTTGTGGACATCAAAACTACGTGAAGATTTGATAGACAAGTTTCTTGCCTTCTTGCCTGCCAAATTTATCAGTGGAACCTTAGTCATAGCCTTCATAAGATTGGTGTTTTTACGGGCATTCAATGGTTATTTCTTCTGAAATCAACTATATCTCATTCAGTTTCAAATGTGTGCCCAGCAATCGTCACAAATCTTGCACCTCGCCAGCTACCGTAACGAGGGCGGGCCCCGATGAATGGCCCGCCCTCAATGCTACGGCGGGCTTGGGTCCAAACTACTGTACATTTTGGCAATGCAGCGCCATTAATGGTTTTTATTCTTGGCTGCAGTGATCTCCTCGGATGCCTTTATCGTTTGGATATCACATGTTTGTCTCATTCTTCATTGTACTGCTATTGAATGTCACAAGCTTAATACTCGTGATATTTCAAATACTGGATGACATTTGATGATAAGTGGTTGCATTGTGTGAGGATTACGGTAGTATGAATCACATTTTCACTCACGCTTACACTCATTATAAGATCTTGACCGCACTGGACTCAATAACGTTTGAATTGTAATGCGTATTTGTGTTGGAATTCATGTGGATTTACTGTTGTTTCGGATATTTTGCTTGCTGTGTGAATTTTGCTTGGAGCGTAAATCCTGCCTTCTTCAATATCAAAGGATTAACCTTTATCGTTTATCCCGTCCATTATCAAAGGCTTCTCGGTGCCTGCGTCTCCATCGATTTGCTGTTGTTTCAGAGAGTAGAGGGATGGTACCGAGCTCCCCCTTCTCCAGCTACAGCCCCTTCCCCTCATTCGTTCCTCAACCCACGTTGCAGTACTCGCCTTTCGTTTTTCCGAATTCGATAGCGAACACTCACGCCACGACGTCTCTACGACACCCGGCCAGTCCCAACGCCTCGGGGTGAGAATCAGCTGGATTTGCAGGATTATCCCCCTGAGTTTACTAAGCAGGAGAAAATCCGTATCATACGATAAATCCCTACATTTTGTTAATCACATTGACACATTAACTCTACATTACGGAGTTGATGCCGCTGTTTCAGCGATGGGACTCGCCGCAATGGACGTCGCGAAAGGACATCGTTCAACAGGCTTCAGCTTGAGCATTTGGAGCGTGTCTTCAGAGAGACCCACTACCCCGATCTTTACAAAAGGGAAGAAGTCGCACGCGCTATAAATCTCCAGGAAGCTAGAGTTCAGGTCAGTCAGCCTTTTCCAGACGTGTAATTTTATGAAAGGGGCATTGCTCATGCAATAGCGGTACAGTTTGGGCACATAGCATGCGTAAAAAGGCAGTGTTTTTACTTGCTATCTCAAGAGCTAAGCTATAGAGCTGTAGCAAACTAGACCGTTCACAACATCTTTTCCTTAAATTTTTGCGAATAAAAAAGTGATTTCAGGTGTGGTTCAAAAATCGACGAGCGAAAGACCGACAGCTGAAAAAAACGCACCTACTTCAGAGCACTGGACGCACTCCTTCTGGGTGAGCCTCAGAAATTTGCGATATTCCAAAACATCCTTGTGAAGAGTGGATTTGAGGTCATCATCAAATGAAAGCCCTCCTCCGGAGCCAAAAGCCGTGGATATGAAAGCTATTTCACATATTCCACTGCCGGGTACGGCAGAATTCGACCAACGAAACGACTCAAAATACCTCACAGTAGGTGGTATGGGTTTGAAGCTGGACAAGGAAGAGTATAAGTTGGTTGACAACAAGTATCCGAGCAACACTGTTACACCGACAAGTACGATTTGATACATTTGCGACATGACGAGAGTGAATCTAATCCACCATTTACAGCATGGGCTTATCCTCTTCCGACCGCTAACTATTCCATCTACAACAATTTCTATGCTACTCCTGCAAATTATTATCAACAGTATGGATACACGTCAGATTACACACCACAAAATCCATCCTATTGTGGTCAACTCTAGAATTACTGTACTTATTTGCCAGCGGCGTTGTTATTCGATAACAGCCTGCTTATTTCCCTACTACGGTGACTTTTGCGAAAATGAGAAGCTGTTAATCTTGACTCAGCCATCTCAGGATATCCAGGGCAAGGAGAGCAATCGTTCCTTTCTTGGTTGATCAGCTCTCGACATTCTTTTCTCAGTGGCCGTCGTTTGTAAATGTTTATCCATTTGAACTAATGTTAATAGATATGATTCTATATGCTGTGTCATTTTTCTAACTGTCAGTCATATCACGAGACGTAAGAAGAACTCATTTTTTCGTGCTTTGCGGATCTCACAATATTCATGTCACGATACAGTTAGCTTATTCTTATTTGTATAAAACCGTCGTTTCACAAATGTGTTTGCAAGCAGAGCTCGGTCAGGCTTCCCGAGTGACAGCCATTGTATCGAAGCCCATCTTGCGCTCCATGTGACGAGCAAAGTGGGAGAAATCCTATCTCTGCAGATGACGAAGGGCTTTCCAAGTCGGCGAAACATGGATATAGGGGCTCACAGGGGTTGTGTAAACACCCATACGTGTTGCTAAGTGTGATGAAGTAAGTGCTAACGCTGTCGTACTTGTTTGTACATCGTTTGTAGTGCACCGCGGATTTCGATGTCAAAGTCATAGCGCATTGCGCAACGGTATGGGAACGAATTAGAGCAAATTTCGAAAAGTGGGATGTGAACAAGCTATTCGAATACGAAAGCCTATGCTCCATCATATCCCAGAAAGTTTTCTCTCCTGGCGCTCTGTGCTCTATCAAACCCTTTATAAATCTCTCCTTTTAAAGGTGAAGGTGTCTAACTGATTAGCACCAAGCAATTAATGTAGTAGCAATTACTTCAGTCGTGGATCGCCAACTTCACTCATCGGTGTCGGACTAGGCAATCTTCCCAATGGAAGGCGGATTATCCTTTTTCTATACGGCGGCATCTTTACAGGTGGACAATTAGACGTAATCGACCGGATGCCGATCCCACTATACATGACAATGCTGCACACAGTTTGTGGCTTATTGTTTTGTAAGCGGCTTAGTCAATTCTTTTCGAAAATCAGACCCAACATCATTCCAACAAAGTTCAAAGTTTGTCTAGCGTATCGCATGATATTGCAAGCTCAGGCGTAATTCGTTCTCGATGAAAAATACAAGTACTTTCGATCGAGACAGCAAAATATAAGAAACTCACTCAATCTTCGAGGAATTATTATCATACGAATAGAAAGAATGAGCTAGAGCATACGAGATATTTGTAGGTGGAATGAGCGTGATTGAGGCTGATAAGGGTCATTAACTAACTTTTGGTGAATTTATGAAAACAACCAGGGGTGAATAGAAACCCAAAGTATCATTCGAAAAGAGAGTTGATGTAAAAAGTAAGTCCTTGATGCTTCAAAGTGTTTTTTTTTTCACGCTGGTTCTTCTTCTATCTATGAGTTTCCGCTTTCAGGCTCTAACGAAGATAAGTGCTGCAGCATAGCCGATAAAGAAGTATTATCAACTATGGAGTAACGCTTAGTCAATCAACATATAAGTATCCAAAACGCCAAGATATTTCAGGAAAGATACTTTGTGTTTGTCTCATGCACTACACTTGTGCTCTCCTTGACTAAACTGACAGAAGGCTGTCGACGACTCCACTGGGGCGTCAGAATCTCGGATGCTCTAACGTCCTCCAAGTTACTGTTGACAAGGAGTGTATATTCTTCCGAATTCTCAGAAAATTTTATTGAAATAACTCTCGAGTACGTAAATCCGATTGTGTTAATGGCGTACGACGAGTTTTAGAGCACACTGAAGATAATAGTTTTGTTATTGCGAAAAACATCTCATCTACGCCGCTGAAGAGAAGCCAGCAAGAACACTGGGCTTGTTATGGGAATACTTCTCGTTGTAAGATCAAGCTTGAAGACATCAGAATGTCAGAAACAACCTGGATGCCGAGACTGTCAGTCAGTCAGGTTTTACTAGCTGAATGTAGGGCGGCTTTGGTGCAATGTTACTGCCCTCGAGAAATGCGGTTTTTCGTGTGTTTCCTTAAATAGTAGTTCTGCAAGAGAACGAGAGGTAACAAAAAAACTACAACAGCGTGTTTGGAAATACTCGAAAATCTCATTCAATGCTAAGCGAAAAGCACGAAACCATTGCAAATTGGGAGTAGGTGGAAAAGAAGTCTAAATTCAAAGCGGCACATTGCGTACGGTAATCGAACCTTGTTCAGTGTCACTTTCATCGCCAAAAAAACGAGCTGGAAGCTAATAAGAGAGGCAACAGCATATGATACTTGATATGACTGCCAAAACGCTCACGCTTTTGAGTGTATTCTCAAGTCGGCATCTTCAGAAGTCAAAATGACACTAAGACTAAAGGTAAACTGTGCAAAGGGCACCGGAGCAGCGCAATGCGGGCCGATATTAGTTGCAGGTTGAGTGACAAGAGATTAGCACCTGAATACAGCGAATGCATCGTATTATCGATGATTAAAGCGTTACTACGACAGTAAGCTGTCGCACAATACAGTGGTTCTGCTGTGAATTGTATACTGTAAAATCTACTGTGTGGTTACGGTAGTTCCACAGTGTACTACTACTTGCTTCGCTCTCATTCTTCCATATAGATCTTTTTTATTGATTATACCGGTAGCCATATTGTGGAAGTGATGGCACGTACCGACCTCGTATTTGAGTACTCTTACGCCAGCTGTAGGCGAAACGCCACCGTACGCGTGCAAAAGCGTGCCGCTCCACTTGGCCAAGTGCTACAGGATGACGTATCTAAATAGGATTACCACCTCAAGTGGGATGGCCCCTTTAGCGTGGTCCGTTTCTCGGTCGGTTCAATATGCCGCTAGGAACACACTGTGCATAATTTGAAGCAGAGACTGTTGCTGACATGGCTGTGTATATGTACTTTTGCTTCAAATTTGTGATGAATCCAAGATTTCGTCGCTTTTGTAAAAGTTATGAAGGGAGCCAATCTACTTACTATGAAAGCATTTTCAGAGTGGCTATTGAAATACGCCCTATGGCTGAATGAGGCATGGACCAGTAATTGCAAGCTTTTTTTTTCGTACCTGCAACCCTCAACCCTTCCTGTGAGGCAGTGTGAGCCATTTTTGCAACTATTCGAAAAATATATGCTTCTGACTCCAATGAAATCGATGAGCATATTTATTTGAGCCATCTAAACAAATCGACGGTGGAAATGGGTGCGTATTGTCCTGAAACTGCATAATTCCTTCCATACAACAAAACCCTCAATTCAACCTGGTAGACTAGAAATTTTCAATAATACCCAACTTATAATCGTGGAATTAGTACATTTGCAGGACACTAACAATAATTATTCCCACTGTAAACAAAAATCTAAAAAATTATTTGATTTAAACAATAACGAAGATATGTTGTAGAAACCGTAAAAACACTATCTTCTCAGATTTGTAACAAGCTTCTGACAGTGTCTCCTTACTAGATCAAGAGCTGCGAGATATCGTGGAGCAAAAAAATAAATAAATATAATGCAATTTGATTATGTACCGTAGAACCTCAACGTCAATCGAAAAGTTTGTAAACTATGGTGCCAAGACTTGAAACTATTCTTGCAGGCACATTATATTACAATTAAATCCGAGACTGCTGCCACTAAAGAAACTGCGAAAGGAGCAGAAAATTCGCAAGCTAGTAGGTCTTCACCATTACTCTACATACGCCGGAACAGGTAATAAGGCGTCCATGAAAACAATAACACATCGTTTAAGGTTTTGAGTTTCAGAATTCAGTAGTTTGATGGAATTTTTTCGTAACGCTGTCGTTGATCTGTTAAAATCTCGTAAACGCTTTTATTTCATGCATACGTGAGTTCTGCAATACATATGAGTGCAACAAATTCAACGTCACTGTATCCACCTAATTTTCACTAATTGGGAAATGAATTATTCTCGCAAAGTGACGCATATGTCGAAGATCCCAATTTCTGTACACAATCGTAGCTATTTCAATTTATGGGCAGCACAGTGGATATTGCTTTCGCAGATAATTTTGAAAAGGCAGTGAGTGTTACTATAATTCTAATGTAGAATTATCTACACATCCAACAAAATTGGTGAGATGTTTGTTGACACAGCGTCAGTTGTCTGCAATGTCAATGCTGCACATTTGTTAGCGATTTTCATACATTTCTCGATTTCAAATCCATGAGCTAGTCCAGCTAGAAATCCGCAGTTAAGGCTGAAAATGGGTTAAGGAATAGGCTAAGTAATTTGAGAGATGAACAAAAAGTGGGGGATTGAAAAGCAAACAGAGTTTCTGACCTGTCTCCAGCTCCTGAAACAGACACGATTTTTTCTTTCGTCAAAGGTGGCGGGCACGTCTTTGAAATCAAGCTTCCAATAGGATCTCTGAAAGCGCACCATACGTAGCCTGGACAAAGTACCGAACGCAACCACTGATCTGTGCAGTGTTCACGGGCTTCTTGTATTTCTGGCGCATGTATTTAATCGGTAGCTATACTTTTACAATTTCGATACACATGTTGCAGTTATGTCTCCTCACATGCTCATATAGCAGGCTTTCAAAGGAGTTCTCTCAGATCTCGAGAGTAGGCAGAAATCGCAAAAACAGATGATCAATTTCTCCCACTCTGTTCTAATCGTTAGTATTTTGAAACATCAGCAACACGTTTTTACGAGGCCGCTTCTTGACCTGCTTTTCCAGAAAAGCAGCAATCTTTCTGCAAAAGTAGGGCAAAGCAGAAGTCAACAAACGGTCTTGCAAAAATTCGTGCGGTTTTCTATTATAGAATTCATCAAGCGGAGTGCGAAAATTCAGCAACGCGGATCCCCGCGCGATTAGCTGAGTGTTGCTCATCCCTTCATGCAAATATTAACTAATTAATCAAATCCTGTCGTTCATCATTCAGGGAACTCTTTTGTTTACAGAAACACATGTGAAAATATAAGAATAATTGAAATATTTGAATTTTTGATCAGTAAGTAATCTACTGGAAAGCAATGAAAAAGCGCCAGAAGAAGTTAGAACTCAACTGAGAAAAAATTCAACAACTAATGATCTTGTCAAATAGATTGATGTCAGTTATTACACAGTTAATTGAATTATTTGTCTATAGTAACGGATATATCCACTAGATCATGATGTAATGTTTGGAAAATAGCGGCTGGTATTGGGTTGGAGAACGTCTTTATTCTATGGCCTTTTCATTTCTTTTTCTTTTCTTTTTCTAAGCAACACACAAATCCGAGTGCTTGAGGGGTACGATAGAGAGAAATAAATTTTACGACAATTTCAACATTAGAATTAGCGTGACTAACGCAATTTTTGAAGCCGAAATCCATGGGTGATTTATGACGCCAAAAATTGTATGTTCGTCCATGAGACTGCTAACTTCTGTGTTTAGCGGGTACATTCACTCACCTTCATATAAACTTGCTTTTTTCATGTCAGAAGTCAGGAAAAAAATAAAAGACAGGAAATGTCAAACTCCGCTCCCATTAGAGGCAGGTAGCTGTGTACTGCGAGCTTTTTTTTTCTTACCCAATATGCAGACAAAGTAAACTAGTTTGCTACCTTAAGACTACGGAGACACCATGAGACGAAAGCGTTACAATCATAACATCCAAGTTGTGCATTACTCGCGGATTTGAACATATAAATTCGCATACTCGGCCAGGCGACGACAGTATGCCATCTGAAACACATTGTACAACTCCCTCACAAATTTTTTTACGGACTTACCTTCTATGGATAGGCCAGTTTTTTCGACGATTTGGCGAAACTCATTTGCATTTGGGGATATGTAATGTATTTTGTCAATACCTCTACAGTCAAAAATCTTCCTAGCTTTGAAGAGATCTGTGGGCTCGAACCATGCTGCAGTGAAGGTGTAAGCAACGCTAATTTAGTACTCAATACCTTTTCGTTTGTAGTAGCTGATCAAGTCCACCGCCTTGCCCATTGCCTCTGTTGAGATGTTGCCGTCAAATAAGACATAATCGGCTGCTGAGATAACATCTTCATTTCGCATTATCTGGGAAAGACAAAACAAAAGTCTACATCACAAAAAAGTGATCCAAAATGACGATGTAAAATTTGGAAATACTTACAACTTCCGGTGTGATCCGATTGATGATATCGCCTATGGCGCTGATACCAAACCTCACTTCACCTCTAACATTCACGGACATGTAAACGGCGGTAGGTAGGTCTTCCATTACTTCTACGCGGGATTTGTCCTGCGCTTAGCAAATAATTATAAGGAATTTATAGCATCCAGGATGTGAATAAAGGCCAAAGTTAACACATATATTGCTTCAATGTTATCCCAATTACTTTTTCAAATAATAACTTTCTGGAAATGAAAGAAATCTCCCAAAGCTGTTTGCTTGCGTTTACTACCTGTAGTTCAAAAAAATTGCTGTAATCAGCAATGTAATTTTCGCTACATCCATGCTAAAATCGTCTATAATCTTAATGTAGAGTGTGATCCAAATTTTCGCGGTCATTCGAAAGTTCTTGTCGTGAAGTTATTGCTCCAATGAACAATTTAAATAGAAATTTTGCAAGCAAAAGAAACGTAATACTTACTATGTGAGGGCAATGATCCATGAAATATTTTCCATTGTCATCATTTCCAATAGTCGATATAAATGTTACATCGCATCCCAACCTAAAATTATCTAACTTTAGATGCCCGAGAACTTGAACTTCCTGTCGCCTTCCGCTCAGACGCAGTCCTTTGAAAACTCCTGCTAATGCAAACCAACATTCATGAATAAAAATCTATATAGAACAATTTGTAATCCAATCCAAAATCCGTAAAAATCCATTGTCTTCTGGTAATCAATATGAAAATTATTGTAGTTTTCTAAATGCACACCGCAAAATTATATTGATTACAATAATGAAATTAGCACCTTGCAAGAGCATCAGCATGATTTCTGCCAACTCCCCCGCATCGCTGCATCACTTCGCCCACATAAGACGCTCCATCGTTCTGGAAAAGCTTATTATTATTACTATTATTAATATTATTCAGTACACATAGTATGCTAACTCATTCCCTCATAGTTGGTCCAAAGCCAAGAGAAATCGTTTATTTGGAAAAGTTCGAAACAGAAGAAGAGACACACCTTTACTTGTTGATCAGTGATCGACTCAAAATCAACAATTGTAGCTCCGATAACAGCCTGCATGAATTTTCTCAAGAATTACGACATAACTTAGAACTGCAAACACTCTTGAAAACAGTACTAAACAATTTTTGGGCGTTTTCTCGGTGCCTTGTTGTTCTCCGGTGTCGATTCCGCTTTGATTTGGCCGTTATTCTTCTTCGACTTTGCTAGTATGCTCGCCAGTTGAGCAGCAATTTTTGCGTTGTTTTTTAGAAGTGCAATGTCTAAATACAAATATGTATGCAGATTCAACTTGCGAATAAGTGCTTACTTGTCTCCATTGTTGCTCCAGAAGTCACTTTATTGACATAAGCAAGTATGAATGGGGTAACATCCTTAGACTGAATGCCTTTCTCACTACAGATGTAAGGATATCTTTGCGTCTGAAGATCATTACAGATAAGCTACCTTGCTTCTTTCAGAGCTTTTTGCACAGCTTCTTCGATAACATTTCCGTTTGCCTGAAACTCTTTAGGGATTGGACATGCAAGAAGCGTTCCAGCAGATAGCCCAAATGCCTTCGAAGTTTCTAAGAAATATCTTGCTTTGATGTGTGCCATCTACCAAGCTAAAGCACACCTATAATTTGAACCACTTCTTCCAGCTCCATGGTATTGAATTGCCCTTTTCTAGTTGTCTCTTGTGTGAAAAACCCTGGAAATACGTTGCGTGGTCCATACACGATACAGTTCACGGAATGTGTTTCCTGAATATGATATTACGGTGCAGAGACCTGGCGGAGCTTTGTAATTACCAGAAATTCCACAGTCTTTGGGATATCCAAGATGCTTTTGACACCCGCGCAAACCACTGTGACTGGAGTTTTCGATAGTTCAATGAGATCGGCAGATATGTCGAAGGCTAAACAAGTATATGTAAGGTGATGAGCGATGTAAAATGAAAGAATAGAAATTTGCGGATTTTGATTTGAACCTTGAATAAAAAGGATTTCTAGAAAAGCTAGATATTGTTCAGCGTTCAGTTTTTAGAAGATCAAAATTTCTCTAGTGATGACTCCAACTTGTAAAGACATTCTACAAACTATTCAGACAAAGAATTTTTTTCTTATAGAATTGCAAGAGACAATTTATTCACCACAAGAAGTGCAGACTTTCAAAGGCTGATGCAAACACCAATCAATTTACCCTAAAATCACGCACATAGGGCCTTCCATCAGATGAGTCCGTCTGGAGTAAGTGTCTTGACTTATTTGACAGTCTTCGGACTTACCTGACAAAATTTTAGAGTAGTTTAATGGAAAGAAAGGACTTATCTGTAAGGCCGACATTTGTGAAGGAATTATAGGGCGGGCTTATCTGGGTCAAAAAAGCCTTATCTATAAGATTTTAGGGTAAACTCAGTTTGGCGACTTTCAAAGTTGAAGCGCGAAAGTTTTTTGAGGCTTAGAAAGCTGTAAAAATTTACTTTGCTCAGCTCCTCTGTGTACACCGCCAACTCCACCAGTAGCGAACACTTCGATCCCTGCCATATGTGCTAGGTACATCGTTGCAGCCACCGTTGTGCCTCCGACCATTCCCTTAAACATCAATCTAGGTGTGAATAACTGCTAACGAAGGCCCTACTTTGCTGAGTGCGAAGGGAATATCCCGACGAGAAACTTTTACGGATTCCATACTATCGGCAACGCGGGACAGTTCTGCACTCGTGAGTCCCACGTGTACGTTTCCATCCAGAAGAGCAATCGTAGCCGGCTCACAGCCGCCGTTTCGAACGACCTCTTCTAGCGATTTCGCGGTTCTGTAGAGGAGGTAAGTTCACGGAGTCAAAGTTTTTCTTTCAGTAGGTGCTTTGAATCTCACCATAAATACGAGATTACTAAAATTTGACATTCAATTGGCAGAATGTAACACACGATACCTTACAAGAATCCGGATGTTCAAAACACGCTTCATCTGCTCTCACCAGTTTCAGTTTCCTAATCAGGTGCTATCTTCAAAAATATCGAACAAAGTGCTTTGCCTCACTAGCTGTTCGAAGTTGCTAGTTGAGTTGGATGTGGTTTGATGGAAAATTGCCCGGAATATCTGCGAATTTGCACTTATATACTTTGCAATTTTTCAGCTCCTACATTTATGTTTCAAATCTATTTTGTATATATTTTGAATCTATTCCGAAATTAACAACACTAAACGACCCATACAAGTATCTGGCATGCCTTCGAAATTTGTCCTCTAGGATTGTAAACCACCAGTATGTATTTGTTATTTGCTGTCTTTCTGGAAGAAAAAAAAAGAAAATCACCTTCTCACTGTACGCCCGAAAATTCTTTACGCCTCACTTTATTTCTTTTTAGGACAGAATTTTTGGCTCTTACTCTAGCGTAGTCGCGATCAAACCCTACTACTGTTTGCTTAACTTTCACCTTTTTATAAACAATAAAACATGAGGTGATAGGGTAATAGTGGAGACTCTCATCAGAAAGTAAGGGCAATCTCTGGGATCTTAATTAACTTCTCTCTGAGCTGCATAATCAATCTTCTCAAAATTTACAAACTTGAAACTTCAGGACTCATGTGGACGAAGCACTTACTCAAGATTTTGTGGATACGGTAGTCCATGAGTAATAACCGTACTTTCAAGAGCAACAACTCCCTTCTTCGCAGCTAAAGCTGCTTTGACATCAGGTGAGATGATAAAGTTCCTAGGCAGAGAGTGCAATCGGCGACAGATAAGAGATAGCTGAACGGGCTTTTATATTGCAACAGATTCGATCATTTTGACTCACCTTATACATACCAACTAGCCAGAGAGGTACTATGCAGGCAAATTACTTCAAGAAATAAGTAGCGGAATAGTAGTAGGAATTGGAAGACTAAAAAAGCGCACTAATATGCATTCCAGCTTCCTTGATATGGGGCCAAAGAACAAACGCTCCCCCTACCATGCCATATCAACGACCTTCGCTATCAAATGGTGATAACGTTGATATCTTAAACAGATACATTCGCGTCTATTTTTCAAAAAATGTGAGCGGTATTGTAGGCGTGCACATACTTAACTCTGTAGGATCCAATGTAGAATGACATTCCCTTCAAGAACTTGCGTATCTTGTTTGTCCTAATTTAGGCGACGAAAGCAACATTGATGTAGATCAAAAAGTTATCCTAGATATTGGAAGAATTATAAGGCATTTTGTGTGGGACTCTCGGTCTAGAAGAGCATATCACTGCTTTGAAAATTACATTTACACTCTGGGTTTTTTAAATCTTTTTTAGCTTAATCGATGTCACCTCTGAAATTCCCTTGAGGGCGTTCTTTACTGAAACAATGGCACCCCTAACTTACCTTTTCACCTTTATTTCTTACCGTTCTGATCACAGATGCAACTATCGCATTGAGTCTACAAATCGAGAGACTTTACGGAAATGTTTAGGACTCTTGATTTCTCTGTTCACTGAACTTTATATATGTAAAAGAAGCTATGTTTATAAAAAAACAGAAAAGTGCAAAGATTCGTCCTGATTCATACGGCTATGTAGTGGTACCACATACCACCGAAGAGAATCAAACAAATACAAGATTTAGTAAGTGATGAAACTTTCACAAACTCAAGCTTCAGGGACTGTATATGGTATGAAACCAATGTTCAAGAAAATCTAACATTGATTTCGAACTCGATATATTACTGGGTCACATCCCTCCATTCAAAATAGGAAAGTGCTGTTGTGTTAGGTGAGTGCAGAGTGTTTATCTACACTTTTATGATAGTTGAAGTTGTCCTCGATCGAGCTCACACCATTTACAACATCATTCGGGGGAAATATATAAGCTATGAAATCTACTCCTTAGAGTTAATTATTTTACAATTCTAAGCTGGATGAGATGATAGGAAACTTGCCATGATTTGCTGAGAATAAAATTCAAGATGTTCGTTCACTGCACATTCAAGTGCATCGGTTCACTAGAAAATGTGAAAGAAGCCGAAGAGTTCCGCGTATTGTTGCAATTATCCTTTTTTACTTGTTATATCCTGCACACTCCCAATGCTTTAGCAGCAATGAATTTGCGAGTCGATTTTCTGCAGAAGTTGCCAAACCCAGTTACTGGTAACTTTCACCAACTAATAAGCTGAACTTTGATTGGTATTTTTTGAGGACCCATATATTCGAAAAATCTGTAAAAGCCGATTGCCTCTTGAGCGTATCTCGCCATAGCTCCCGCCGGAGCCTTCCATGCGGGTGTCCCTTCCATGCGCGCAGTTTGCTGTCGGCACCGCAGGAATACTATATTAAGCGTCAAATCTATTAGCTTCACAGTCTGTCGCAATCGTGGCGGCCTCTTCCAGGGTGTGTGCCCTTCTGAACCGCTTCGTCCTAGCGCTAAATACTCTGCCCAGGCGGCGCTAATCACTTCGCCTTTCTTATAATCTATCACAGTTTTCAAATATTTCTGAGCATTTCAAAGCACGAATAATGATAGTGACGATGTTTGAATTATGAAGACAGAAAGTTTGAAAGTTGCGTGTTTTTTTACTGAGCTTTCGTGATTTCTTGCCATTCCCAGTTTTTAAAACACCATGAAGTCCGCACGTGTAAGCTAAAGAATTTACCTAAGCCGCCCACGTATAACATGAGTTTCATGGGGAACTCGAAACTTGTTTAATTTTTCATCATGAGAATGCCTTTGCAGTCCACTTCAGATGTCTCTAACGACAGCATAGCTCTCGCCTACCCAGGCGCCGCGGTGCGCCGACCAATCAGAGGCGCGAAGTAATTAGGCTGCTAATGCTAGCAGTTCAGAAGGGCCGTCTCCCCTCTTCCATCGGCATAGCCGCATCGGCGGGCCCTAATCGCTGTCGTGTACCTCTTTCTCCAAATTTTGCCGAGAAAGAGTTCCCCGTCAAGTTTTTACTGTCCATTTCCGAGCCTCTAGCCGTGGGCACATACTCAGGGACTCGCGCCGTGCGGGCGGCCAGCGACGACCTTACAACCGCTCGTTGGTGTGTGCGGTTGTACGGTCGTCAAGGGCCGTTGGAACGGTTAACGTGGGGCGCCCGCACGGTCTCTAATGTGCACTATAGTGTGCACAAATGCAATGTGTGCATGTGCACAAATCTTAACCTATATAAAATACTCGGTACATAGGGTTCTGTGGAAAACTAAATCTTTGGCATTGAAGAGTAGATAAATGTACCTCGATCTCCATGTTTCCTGGTCTGCTTGCAAAGTGGTGCGACTTTATGCAAGTGAATAAGTGGGTTATGATACCACTTGTATGATGGCTGGGTTCAGAACTGACTATCTCGGATGAAACACTTTTTCGAAAAAGCGACAGTCTTCTTTACAAGCTATCTAGATATTTCAAGGAATTGCCGCTCACAGCGTTATCATCCCGGCGCGGCTTTTCTAAAGCAATCTGACCTGATATTTTTGCATACACTTGTTGCTAGGCTGCATAAGAATCTTGGCATGGTGAGAGAGCGCAAAAGTCGCGTTGGGCACCCATGCCACAGGGTCAGCGAGCGGCTATGAAAAGGTGAGCTAATCTTACGATAAATCACAATACAGAAATGCTAGTAAAGAATCTTCTTTAATGCTGAGGATGCAAAATGGCCAGGAGTTGTCACACTATACCTCCTCACTCTAATGCGTGCAAATAATAATTCATTTAGCATTGCACTGCTTTCTCAGTAATTCCCTTCTCAGGTATATTTTGCGGTCCAGATATCATTTTGTAGTGATGAATCGGATCACCCTCTATCCACTACAGTACGATTAAATTGAAATTTCCATTCCCTTACTTTCATTGTAATTCAACCGCCAATTGAAACACTTTTTGAGAAATCGGTAACCTTGAGTGAAATGGTGTTCATATTGCTGATTAACTTCGCAGCAGCACGTGAGAGTTCAACTGAGCATATGATGGAATTTCCTCTTTTTCATACAATACCGTTCGTATTTCTTGAAAAACGACGCACAGTCGCCCGATTCATGTAACATCTCCGGTGCGTGGTCATATCTCGCTTCCGAGTGGACGAATTCTTAATCCAAGGGCACCATTCGACTCAGCTCGAGGTGGCGCATCTTCTGATATATAGAAATATACTCGGATATAGCAGGAGGTCAGCAGATTCCACGAATCGTTCCATGTTTTCCCTTATGGTAGATCACCCACTGTGCTTATTCATTGCAATCACTGGGTAACCTACCGCAAGCAAAATCTGAAACGATTCGTCGAATCTGCCCTCCTACTGTGTCCAAACAAGCACACCTAAATATGAAAAGATGCGCTGCGTCGAACTGAGTCGAAGCCCTTGGATTATGAAATTGTCCACTCTCTAGTAATATATGGCCAGCTGCGGTGATGTTACATGAGACGGACGACTGTGCGTCGTTTTTTTTTTCTCCAAGAAGCGGTATTGTACTTTTTGAAGCAGGAAATGCCTTCTACTGGCGCAGAAGCCGCTTGGAGATTTCCACCACGGTTTAGAGCAACAAAGATAATCGTTAGTTCGCTTTAATACTTGTGTCCATAGTTGAAAGCGCTTCAGCAAGATACTTTTAGGTCTGATACGTTGAAGCAAGACAGCTGGTTGTCGAAAAGTGGCATATACTTTTGAAACCCCCTGTATCTCATCACGTTTTTCCATGACCTTTCTCTACTTGGAAATATGCAGTTTCTCCGGCTACCTCGTACTAGCTTCTATCATGTCTAACAGTCACAGAAATAAAAGCTCCAAGTGAAAACTATGTGCAAATTTTGCATTAAATGGACTTGCATGAGATAAAAAATATTTCCCCTTCTAAAATACCAAGCGCTAGAAAGACAGCATTTTATCTTATTCTTGGCAGAAAAAGCAGTTGGTTCGGGAGCAAAAAGCTAATCCTTTGCATTGAAAATGTCTTAGTTCAAGTCTTCTCAGAGCAACTACTTTACTGGAGATACTAAAAGAACATTCAATCATCAACATTTATAATCGCCCACAATCCCAAGCTGATTGAAGGTGATGCGAAGAAATTGAGGAGCTCGTGTTCGCCCTTTTTATTTGCCGGCGGCTTTCACCACATTGAAGCAGTCGTTGTGGATGAGCCATTCGCCGTCAACCTGTAAAAGACGATACTAGGAAGGAACGACGCGAAGTCTCTATTGTTCTCTGTGACTGGAGGATTATATACTACTCAGCGGATATTCTTACTTTTTTCCACACTTGGAGATAAGCACCGCTTTCTCTTCCACGAGTTCCATCCAGATGATAACTGCCTCTCTCGAACGCCCAATCGCCACCTCCATTTACCTCCTCGGTGATGATCTGAAAAGAGGAGCAGCTTGTCGGAAGTCTAATCGTAGGGTTTGCATTACGCACCTGTGCTGTCTGAACACCATCAGCCATGTCTTCCTTGAAATACTCTTCGATACCTGCAAGGTATATTGGAAAAGAATATACCTTTATAACACTGAGTCTTACCAGCGCGACCCTTTACTGGGTTGCGACCGTTAGGCATAAAGTAACCGTCAGGATCGTATACAGCTGCAGCGCCTTTCGGGTCCCCAGCATTGAAAGCTTTCATGAAGGCCTGTTGACGTCCTTTGATTTCTTGGAAAAGAGCTGAAAATGTCGCTTGTTTGGCGGGGTTTTTATTTTCACGAAGAGCTATTTTTGATTTGGCATAATACCCTAAAGGCTCCCTGGAGAGTAAAATTGAGCCGCAGAGAGTTGCAGTGACCAAAATGCAGAAATGTAAGCATTACAGTCGTGATTATGCAAAACACATATGGTTCATCATGTGTAGATAGCCTTTATCGATATTCGTCTGCGACTCTTCTATGGATCATGCAGTCCAGAAAAAAGCGGCGCTTTAGAAGCTCATTGAGAAACTCACCTACGGGCATGCTTCCACGATAATAAACTAACGCGCGCGACAACTTTCGCTGCCCTTCCCACTTTTGGCGGGTTTTTTGGAAAATCTCGTTAGCAGAACATATTTCGAAATATGGAAAAAGTGTCGTGAAAGTCCCACAAATCTGTGAGCTGCCATGAGCAGGTTCTATTTTTTTACATCTCTGGATCTGAGCATTCCCTGCCAGGATGAAGAATGGATTTTAAGACAAGACAAAGTGGCAACCGTAATCCAGTTCTTTCGAAAGTTGCAGTCTAACAACTTACAGTTATTGACTGCATTGAGAAGCGAATTAGCTAGGGGAATGTGACGAAAGTAGTTGGTCATGGCTCGGATGCAGTGCTATGAACAAATAAATTGACGAGTTTGCGGATACTCACCACTCATGCTGAAGCTGACAGGTCTGGGAGCTTCAATTCGCCTCTCAATCTTCACTTTTGCGCCGCTCAGCCTCTTATATAGCGCCGATAATCGTTTCCTATTGCAATATCGTATGCTAAGGAGAATTCCGGAAGCTGAACACTCATTCATACCGACAATTGAGCTATTAGTAATTACTCGGACAAGTATACAACATATGCACTATTTTGGGACATATAATGTCTCCGCTACGCTTCTGCAGTTGTGCGCTTTGACATGCTAATATATGTTCTGACTGAAGACAAACAATCGCTGGTCTGAGTGTGACATAAAGATGAATTGGAAGGAGTGTCTACCAGTGCGATAGAAGCCTCACTGGATGGAGAAAGCAGTTTCGTAATATCAACTTGGCAGCCCTATTTGAAAAGAGTATAGCCGATGATTTTGCTGCCTCTTGCAAGAGGTAGCAGATAGTTATATGACGCAAGAATTGCTTTGAGCTCAACGTGCTGATTGGCAGGACTGTGCAAGGCCTTGACACCACGCAGAATAAAAGATGAAGATGTAAGTGTTTTCCGGTTCTCTTGCCTCGCAGATTTTGGCGTACATCCTATCCTGGCTCATCAAAATAGCTCATCATTGAACAAGAGCTTCAGATGTCGTCTCCGTGAAATTTTAAAAACCACCCATTTTGTTCTTTAGTAAGTTTTTGGTTCGACCGCATTCTAGGAAAGCACGATAAATCTCAGAGATTCTACCATTATTGTAGGTTTGAGTTTTACAAATTGAGCCACATCGTGCTTCATGCATGAGATGCAGAAACTCTTAGAATCTGGATCCATACCATCGATATACAGAGTCATGTACTTTGGTGACCTTCATTCCAAGAGCTGAAACGAAGACAACTTCAAACAGAAAATCATCCTCTGCTGAAGCCCCGGGAACTGAGGGTAAGACCACTCTAGGACGATTGTGTGTGATTATAATACGATGCAGATACTTCGGTATAACGCTACACTTGCAATATTGAAAATCTATATTCCTGATGTTTTCCTTTCAAAAAGACAATTTTTCGGTGGCATATGCGGTAATTGCACAAGATTTGTAGTCTGAGTATCCAGAAAATTGAGCATAATTTCTGCAATTTGCGCAGGGGGCTGCAAATGAAAACGCTGGTATATATCGTTCTAAAGTGGATTTCGAAGTTGTTGTCAAATCATTGTTCATAATCCTTTTGATTACGAAAAATGATTTGTAATGTTGTATACTCCACATCATATATGTAATGACTGGAATCATACCCTCGATACATAGAGCCACGTACTCCTGTAACCTTCACTTTGAGAGCTATGAGGGGACACAACCTTCACCGGAAAGAAACAGAAGTTATCCGGGGCCTCGCCCCGGATGTTATTATCCTGACTATCGGAACGAATGTTAATGAAGCAAATATAGGGAATAATGTCCTTAGCTTGTCTCAGAAAAACCGAGAATTTGCGTTTCATAGCCTTTTTTACCTTAAAAAGAAGGTTTCTGTGGAATTTTCGCCAGAATTCAAGATAAAATTTGTCAGCTAACCTCTCATTTGAACAAAATCGAGTTTCAGTAGTTTAGGGAAGCTATTGGAGATGAACAAAAACGAGAAACTGCGCTTGAATCTTGCGCAGAGAGTTGCGCACGAAAACGCTGGTCTATCTTGTTAATGAGTGGTTTTCAAAGCTTGGGACGTTGTCAGTTCTTCTCGACGTATCATGACGATCAGAATGATATATAATGTTGCAGGGACCCCGCGGAGATCTACGACCAGAGCCAAATGCCCCGTCGGCTCTGGTCTGTCTCCGCTGCTCGTCTGCGTCTCCGCGCGCTGCGCGCTACCTCGCTACCCCAAACGCGGGGCGCGGGGCATTTGGCTCTGGTACCCTTTTCTTCGCTGTTTCGAATCCAGTATTAGCAAGCTATATATCATTTTGAAGCTCTTGATCTCTATTTTCACGCTGACAACGTCCCAGAACCACATTTTTTGATTTGATTGAGAAATCTGGCAAAAACCTCGTTTTCGAAAATCTCTTGTTTTTCTCCTAGTTCAACTCTTTTCACGCGGTTTTTTTGCGCATTCTATAGATCTTGCCTCCGTTCATAATGCAGACAACCACCCAGCCTTTACCTCTTTGATTATGGTGGAATTTTTTGCGAAAAATCGTAAAAAGTACGTTTTTTTTACCTTGTTTTGTCTCAGTGCCTTCGCATCGATTGTTTTCCAGCTTGGGCGATTGTTGCTCAGAATAATAAGCGCAACAATCCAGACAACGTCCCAGAAAACAGGAACGTCAATGCGGGGGTAAAAATTTAAAGGACGCATCAAAAATCAAAACCCCGTTTTGCGAATTGCTAGTCCTGGAGCGAAAACTTGCTCTTTGAAAAGCCGCCAAATGAAAGAATTCAAACCTCATTGCAGCGTTTTTATCCGATTTTCAGCAGTTTCTTTTGCTTTTTATATCTGTTTTACGCCATTTTCTCTTCTCTGATCTTCTTCAAACAACCTTCACTATTTATGACCTCAGATGTTCAAACCTTCACTTTTGACGCCCCGTCTCTAGACTATCGAAGGTATGACTGGAATTCCAGTTTGCATATTGCAAATGTCTTTTCGATGCTCCGCTTCGGTACCGCAAAACCACAATTCCCTTTGTTTGTTTCCCAAAAACGAATTCCATATCGGTGCCAGCTTGTCGTGCCCCGCTGGCACACCTCTAACTAGAGTCAAAGGGGACTTCGTAATTTTGAGAAAGCAAAAACTTCCTCGTGCATTTGTCGGGCATTACCAAGGAAACTCACCTTTGAAAGCTTCCTATGGCAGGTACCAGACTTATCCGGTTGAACCGGTTCATCCGGTTCACCCGCGCTATTGGTCAATTCAGGGGTTTGACCAATAGCGAATAGGTGAACTGGATGAACCGGTTGAACCGGCTAAGTATGACCCCTACCGTGAAACATCTAGGCGATGAAGGGTAAGGGGAGCAAATTTTGATGTGTGCCAACCTTGATACGGGAAATCGACTGCCCAATAGCTGTATGTACCCAAAGTGGACTTTCAGAAATAGTTTAGCCACTAGACATAGTTCCTGCTTTCATGTAACAAGTGATAAGGGTAGAAATGCATCCTTATTTGGCTGCAAGTCCCCCTTTACCCGGATTGTCTTGAATATCCATATACGGATCATATTGAAACTTATTAATTATGTCGTTCAAGCCAGCTGCCATGTCCTATTCATTTTCATCAGCCCTAACCATACTTTTTCTTCCGTAACTTCTGGCACTGATTTGAAGAAAACAATCCCTGGAATGGTAACAGTGCCGTTACATTTCTCCAAAAGCAGTCCTCTGCCTCTTGTAACGTGCTCTAGTCTGCTCAACCTCCTACCAGACTGTCACTGATACGGAGCATTGTGATCCACTTCATCCGATTTCAAACCAATGATCTGATGCCTGCGTCTTATTCTGAAATGGATGAAGTGGATCATGTGGATAAGTATGGCGTCTGCTTCTTGGAACTCCATTTACCCTGCAAGTTTTCAAATAAGCTGAAGTGAATTCATTCGTTCTTCTACAATAGTCCATGTGGTACTGATAAAGATACCGCGATGTAACTATAACTGAGATGTATGACATATTGTAATTTTCTTATTTTTAGGTAGAGCAAGATAATTGTCGAGCGAATGTATGCTTCTCAAAAACAATGTTGAGGCAAATATGGGCACATGGTTTTCTGACATGGAAATTGGTGAGAAGGCCCCGGAGTCGAGTTATTTAGTATGGTCATACGTGTGACTGCACACAGTCTTTGCTGCCTTCATCCTGATTTTCAAGCAGACACCACTCCAGGTGTTTATGTCTCTTCTCTATGTTTTCTTCCCTTTCAAGTACGAATCTCCTCTCGAAATGTAAGCGGTGGCAACTGGTCGGTCTCTTCTGTTTTTGCGAGCACAAATCAAGAAAGGGGACGGCAAAATGCATACTGGGCGCAGTGACAAATACATAAAATGTCGGCTCGGCAGTACCCAAACCAGTGCTTAAGTGACAGCGCATAAGTTTCATTCAAGGTTGGATAATCTACCTCCGAACTTCTCACACCCGCTCTGGTACCGTATTCAGTGAACTACTTGCATCGTGCTCGCATCTTATCGTCTGGCGAACCAACATGGCCTTGGGCGGAGAAAGTAGACAAGCAAATGCAAATTGTCCGCTATATACGGTCACGGGTCTAGTCTGGAAATAGTTGCAGATGAATTCTTTGGCAGTGAAAGTTACTTGACTTGTCGCTTGGGCAGAATTTAGCTAGAACGCCTTCATTAGTTTTTACGTGAGAAGCCCATGTGTCAGATCCTGTGCACTGTCTTTAACACGACCGCGAATTAGTGCGCGGCGGAAAAGCCGGCACCTTCAGCCGTTGGTGAACAGAGATACTTCATTTCGCAAACTGAACACTATATCTGTGATCAGCATGTCAAATAAGCTCCATACCTAAAACTTCGAATAAATTTAAAGTTTTCAAATCTTGTCACCTGAGAAGAACTGTGTTTTCTTGGGAGATAGAAACTATAAGTCTTAAATTGTTTACAAGTCTTGTTTGATTTATCATTGTGTGTCTTAAAAGAACACAGGGTGCCCAGCTCCATAAAGTTATCTCCTAGCAGTGGCGATCCCAGGAATTCCGTCCGGTGGAGGGGGTGGGGGGGAGGGAGGGGGGGGGCGGCAGACAGTTTTTTCCAATGAAGGTGCGTGGCGTTAGCCATGCACTCCGAAGAAATTTTTGGGGTGCTTCTCAAAACTTTTGCGGGCCCCTAACACCTTAAAACTGGAAAAAGGGGGCGTGGCTGAGGCCACGCCCCAAAAAACAAAAATAAACAAGTCACTTGCTCATTTTTACAACCCATGTAAGTAAATTTCAAAAATCGACCGATTCTCGGGGGAAGGGGGGCGGGCGCCCCCCCCCCCCTACCCGCCCTCCCCCCTTGGTCCGCCACTGCTCAATAGTATGAACATAGGCATTCAACTCAAAATCCTCTGACTACGACAAAACCTTTTGTGGAATATGAGAAGAATCTTCCGAGTCGCGTAATCCACTCTGTGCAGCAAAACTTATCAAGTTGATTTTAGGCTTGTGGGTCCGG